GTGAGTTTGAGGTCAGCCTGGGCTACATGAGTCTATCAAAAATGGGGAGGGGTCCTCACCAGCTTTTTTACCTGTACCTATTCAGCTACCTTAGGACCAACTTGAAGACGAAAGAAAAACAAGATGTCAGAGCTCACAGCAGACCTCACTGGGCTCCTCTAGAAAAAAAAATCTCCCCTATATGGATAGTGAAAAGGCTGGGTACCTTGATTACTAGAAGAGTTTTGGAGATGAAGGGCTTTTCCAGAAATCCTTGTGGCCCAGTATCCACTGGATATGGAGGAAAGAAAAGAAAGTTGAATGTACTGACCATTGAGGTGAATCCTGAAGAAAAAACGAAATATATGATATAATTCTGGACAAAGACGGGTAACAGACAAGGTCATTTATAGCTCTCTATATACTGATCTGGTTCCAAAGACGGTTACAAATACAGATGCCCAGATGTGCAAAGACCCGATGAGGAAGCTATTAACGTGCTAGTTCAATATCTGATCCACACCATCCCAGCAAGGAGTGGCATTCAATTCTGGAACAAAACAGAGGGTTATTCAGATAACAGAAATGCATGAAGATTCATTGGAGCATCAAGATTCAAGATTAGGGGCTGGGTTGCTCAGCAGTTAGGAGCACTGGCTGCTCTTGCAGAGGATCCAGGTTTGGTTAGCAGCACCCACATGGTGGCTAATAACCATCTATCCTCCAGTTTCAGGGAATCTGATGCCCTCTTCTGGCTTCCTCCAGCATTACACACACCACACACTTAAGTACATGCAGGCTAAACACGCCTATACATTAAAATAATTAGATCAATCAATAAATAAATCACTCAAGACTAATAATAAAATTCCCCAGGACCACTTTCTTCTGCATGTGTGGTATGGTCTTCCAGTTGGAAGATGACTGTAAAGAAACAAGCCTGGAAGATTCCTCCTTGTATTTCCAACTGGAAAAATGTAAAGGATTATATACAATCCCATTAGACAAACGTCAAGCTGCTGATGGAAGAGGATTCCAGATGGTATACACGAGTGGAAAATTTTGCTGAACTGGCTGAAGCTCTCTACACGGCTGATTGGAAGGCTTGTAAGGTTGTGACAGAGTGTCCAAGGAGAGAGCAGGATGGCTCAAAAAGACAAGGAAAGTATGCAGAGCAGCTTAGAGAGAGAAATGGCCCAGAAAGCCAAAGAGAGGAGAGCTGGGATCAAAACTTATGTGGAACAAAAGGATGGAGAGGCACAAGAGAGATGAGCTCTGGCATGGTTGAGGAAAAGAGAAACTAAAGTCTCTCCAGGGCACCTCCCCGTCCTCC